CGAGCGCCTTATCCACCTGGCCATCGCCGGGCCCCGCGTATATGAAATAAGTATTATTAAACGTATTTCACTAATGGGCTACAACTCTTCCCCACCTCCCACCGGTGACTAAGTGGTAAGCTTGAGAGCTTATATTGCCAAACTTAGGGGCTCAGTCGGTGGTCACAGCACAGATAGACATTATGTGCTTTTATGCTAACGGCAAGGCAAACAAAGGAATGTGCTACATTCATTTGCAAATTATTAAAAAGGAACCAATGTGCTACATTCGTTTGCAAATTACTGAAAATTGACAGAGTACCAAGATTGACGAATTTTCTGCTTTTTAGAGACCCTCGAGAGGAAGTTTCATGAAAATTATCAAGTTACGTTACGAGTTACGTGCGCTGTGCCCACCGCTAAGATCAAACGTCAAATTTTAGTGTTTACAAGCCCCCAGGGTTATCGCTGAGTCAGCGGAATACCAGTCACCTCTAAGACCAAATAGTGAAATATATATTCACGTATACGTTAATGAATAAATAGGCTTAGAAGTGTTAATAAAAATAGTGCGATCTTGGTCATATCGCAGAAAACTGCTGTGAAGACCAAAATGTAAACATTATTTGACTGTAACACGATAATAATTTTTGTGATTAATAATATAATTAAAACCTTTATGTCCACTCACATAAAACAGTCATTTATCAGAGTTTTTGAAAGATCTTTATGTTGCTCATGGGAGAGTTTATTTTTATGAATAAGAAGACTAGTGTAATTATTACCAAAATCAAAACTTTCTATTGTTTTACCTTAATTTTCTCTTTGCATTCAGTGATATTATCGATAATAATTAACGAATGAATACTATGATTCTTTTTTCGATAATTTACAATATTCGTTTAAAAATCGTTTGACTCTTAAACCCTTAATGGTTGAATTGATAAATCCTTGGCCGTAGTTTTTGTTTTGTTCTTATTGTATCAGCTATGAACCTATTTTGTATAGTGGTTCATGTAATTTTGAAATTAAAAAAATAGATATTATTTTGTTGAGAAAGGACATCACATTTTGATAATTCTTTAATATGTTTAGGCGTGATATTTTCTTGATATACCACATAATATACCACATAACTTGAAGGTGTTAGTATTTGTAGATTGAATGAACCCTAGTTACTTGCATAAAGCTGTAATATAAAATTGAAAATTTATATTCTTGTTCAAACTTTTACACTAACAAAACGTTAGGTATACCAGTATTGTAACAGTTTCTTAGAATACTCACCAGCAAAGCAAATTAGTTTCAAAGTTTAGTTTCGGGCTGTCATGTGAATTCCATATTCTATTTTATATTCTATAGCCATGTAGATTTTCAAGTTTATAATGGTTTGCTATTTTTTTTAGATTCATGAATGGGAGTAAAATGTATAATATATATTTCCGAAGTTTCATCTTAATTTAAATATTGTTCCAAGATAGAATACAATCAACTAACTCTTCATGCCTTGTTTTACACTTTGTCCTTTAGATGTTAATTAATAGAGAATGTAATATGTGCTTACTACATTAAGCTTACACTTTCTTGACCAAATTGTGTAAAGGTACGGAACTCCTTTCGAAACCGATTTAGGATTTGATCTTTTACATTTCAGTTATATAAAAATATACTCAATTTCTGTTTGGAAGGGCAATAATTTAAATTAAATGCCTTCCATTTTATCTAAAGTGGTTCAAATAAGTTTGCTTAGTAAACCCGAAAATTCATAATTCATGGTAAATGATATATCAGGTCGTCTGCACATAGCCATATTGAACTGATAGGCTAGAAATACGACTGCTAGTCAACAGCATCAATCGTCAACTCTCGGGCTGCTCTTGTCTGAGCGAATAGTAGGACTTGACTATCACTTTTACAGTACACCCGTAGTGTGGAGCGTATGTTTTGCAGCTACCGAACGTAAACCATGAATTCTCGGATTCAAAATCCGGGCACACTTACCACTAAGCCATGGCCATCTCTAGTACCATTCAAAAATGGATCATTGTAGAATATATATATATATGTCAAGACATGAGAATGTTACAAACCACAAAGCGTCACAAAGCTTATTATTGTGAATTTTCTTATTTTGTACTTCAGCAGGAGGATGACTACCAACCACCATCCTGCATTTTTCACCCTGATGGCAATGTCATCTTTTACTGGATGGTGAGTTGAATATCCAGTTTCGTATAATCGTACCAGAGGCACTCATATATTGTTGTTGCCAAAAAGTGCAGCCACTCTTTTAAAGTTGTTAACTGTGGTTGGTTGTCTTGATTTGCGAGACGTGAGTCTTGAACTCTATGAATGATGTGAAATAGAAAGTATTTTGTTATGTTGTTAATTTCATATGTTTATTTAACGAATATCAGTCGTTTCTATATTGTTTCTTTTATCTTGGGTTAATGTTAGAAATATCTGATATCTCTGTGTTTAAATATGTGATTCACGAAATAATTTCTCGTGTTTCAAACTGTTCAAAAAGTTCAGAAACTTGTATCACTTCGAATCCGTGACATAATTGTAATCTTAAGAAAAGTTTAACTAGAAAGTAGAGAATGGTTAATAATGTAAGTGTTATAAGCGGTGTTTGGAATATTTAACATTATCTCCACAGCAATCGTTGAATATGACTTAGAATATGACTTTCAAACGTAAATAATTACATTTTAAGAAGATTGTAATACAAACAAACAAGCTGATTAAACAGGACAAAAGAGAGTCAGAAAATAGTGATGACGATGTGTAGAATGAATTGTAAGAGAAGATTGATGACTGTTATCTAAGTTAATAATGAAACGAGGACTCCAAAAGTAAAATGTAACAAAGTGAGACTGAACAAAACTCGCTACTGGATAGAGCTCGCTAATAATAAACATTAACAAAGGATTACTGACAAAAATAGGGATCAGGCAGGAATCACCGAGATTTTTAGGGTAGTAGAAAAATAACATTGTATAAATTGACTGGCTGAAGACCTCTGAGATGAAATGTCATAAGCTAATTGCTGAGTAAATATCCCTAGAGTAATGATCACATAGCAAGAGAGAGAGAATGAACAAAACGGATTTATGGAGTTAGAAACTATTAACTGGATAAATACCCCGTTAACATTAAAAGTAGCAAACTTAGATTGAGTGAAGCGATATAGTAGATGAAGATATTAGTGCAAAGCATAACAGAAAAATAAAACAAAATATACAAGTGGATGAGGGACTCATATCTTGGAAGATGTAGCTAGGGGATCTTATAATGAAAAGGATGGCTAAAGATTTTTGCAATACATGGGGTAGTAGAGTGGTAAATGGACAATAACACCCAAAACCTTCAAATAATAAGAGTACTGGAGGGAATAAAAAGTGGGACAAGGATACGAGATAAATGTGTTATGCTATAGAAATTACAAGTGAATATATAACTGACAAAACTAATGAATAACGGGAACCAATGCTCAAAAGTAATAATTGAATGAAGGTTTTACGATGGACATGAAAAAGAATAATACAAAAGAGACGTTAAAGACGAGATATAATGAATGTTTTATGTAATGAGGATGACGAGTTAATTAGAAAAAGACGAAACCAACAACGTTGGTTTACAAACACTGGCAGGATAAAACAGAAATCATGAAAAGACGTAATGAACGTATTCATTGATGGAAAATGATTTGAGCTAATATACCCAACATACTGGTATACTGGGAACTTGGTTTTTAGGCAATAGCAGTTGAGTACGAACTAGAGAACAAAATTGAATGTATATAGGATTATCAAGATACACAAAATGGGGATGAACAAGCACTACAGTCCTGTTGGTAAGGAAAAACAAACCTGCTATTGATAATTAAAGTTGGATATATATAAGACAATATATATTTTTTTAAAACTTTTGTTGTTGTTTTCTGAAACATAACTGCATTGCTTTAATCATTTAGGGACTTGTCAGTGTTACCGTTGTGTACAATATTTGGGTTGTGATTCTAAGACTGGCCTTTCCGGAACTAGGAAATGAGGTAAAAATATTTTATAAAATTAACTTTAAAATCTATCGACGTAAATCAAAGCTATGCTGTCAATAATTGTGGCATTGAGACATTTTATTCCAGAAAGTCGAAAATATTTTCTTTAAATATCAGTTTTCTGTTATTTACTTGTATAGAAAATGACTCAGAAAATAGACATAAATTTAAATATTTTACTAGATTTTTCATATTTTCAGAACTAGTTGTTTGACGCTTTGTCATAACTATTGCAGCCTTCAATTATTTAAGATTATTTTTATTAACTTCATGTATAAATTTATCTTTTCAGTCTACAGCTCAGTACATCTTTTCACTTGACACAGTTTGTGATCTCATTTACCTTTGTGATATCGGAATCCAGTTAAGGACAGCATATCTTGGGGATGGCATTCCGGTAAGTAATGTAGAAAGAAACGTCAAAAAATGAAATAAGTACACAAAAACGAGGGTTAGGGAAAACATGAAAGACTGTTTAGAAGAAAATGGTGAAATCAGATAAGGAAGAAAGAAAAAAAGCAAATGTAATCAGTTGAATAAGAAAACATATAGATTAAAATAAACCGATGAAAGGGTGAGAATATCTGGAATTCGAACCCGTGACCCTCAGATTGTGAGGTAAGCACCCTAACCACCTGGCCATATCGGGCCCGTAAGAAAAGGATTAAATTGGAAACAAGGCAGAAAAAAGACAAGAATGAAAAGTGAATAAAAAGAAAGAAGAGAAGTAGAAACATGAAGAATAAAGATAAAGGGACGGGGAATAGTAGATGAACTAAAAAAGAAAGAATGTATAAAGGAGCAAAAGAGAAAATGATGAAAAAGAAGGAGAGATATAGAATTGAGTAAAGAGAAAAGAAGTAGAGTAAAACTAACGGTGAAAAAGAGATGATAAATGAAACAGGTTATAAAGAAATACAAAAAACGCCTATTAAGAACTCAATGTTGAAAAAACATGGCAAGGAATAGGAAATTTTTGAATAAATAAGAAGAAAAGTAATATCTAGAGACAACCAAGAAAACAAGAAAGACTTGAAATACTCTTAAATTATTTTACCCAAATATAGAAGCGTTATACTGTCAATAAGTAAAACGAAATAAAAAAAAACAATTAAAATAACGCAAGTATTAAATTTTAGGCATGTCCAGGACAGAAATAAAAAGGTTAGGCAATATTCGTTATTAACATAATATCTTACGCTGGGTAAAATCGCATAAAATAATTGGCAGAACACAACTAAACAAGGGTATTAATTCTTCCGTTTGCGTAGGGTATAAACACAACAATTTCTTAATTGCTCAGTATCATCATATCTCTTCATGGGATACTAAAACTTGGTTAACTATGCGTACAAAATTTCAGTAACTTGTACAAAAAGCAAACAATCGGACAAGCGAAAACTAACACGGAAGTATCCAGATTCGTTAATGTTGTCATGGAGAAGATTGTTTGTTTTTGAATTTTGCGAAAATCTACATGTGTGCTGTCTGCGCTAGCCGTCCCTAATTTAGCAGTGAAAGGCAAGAAGGAAGGCAGCTAGACATCACCACCCACTGCCAACTCTTGGGCTACTCTTTTACCAACGAATAGTGGGATTGATCATCACATTATAACTTCCCCACGAGCATGTTTGGTGGGACGACGGATTTCGAGTCAAACGCCCTAACCACCTGGCCATGCTGGGCCGTCATGAAGAAGAAGCAGGACACTAGTTGAAGCTAGAATGTTATCAGATGGTGTATTGTTGCTATGGTAACATTATCACGAAAGAAAGGAAAGCTTCAAGAGTAAATTTAACCAATGACTGTTAATCTCTGTTTAGTAAACACTACGGAATTTATTGATTTTATATTAAAGCACTTAATTTGTTTTGGCGAAACCGGATATTTTCTTTAAATTACACCTTACTCAATCTCGACTTATTGACTCGTTCTTTCGTAGCAAGCACCAAATATTGAGTCTTTTCTATGGAAACTGTGACTTAGTAGAATGGTCAGATAAGCTTTATTTAAACAGTCTTTTTTGTGCTTGTTTTTCTTTTTCTATAGTTCACGGTCTTCTTGTTATCATCATTTGGCTTTACATAGTTTAGAAAATCTACATTTATAGATTTACGGAAAAATTTTTCAAAGATTTTGAACAGTTTTTTTTTTTAAAGATATGATTACACTTTTCACATTCTTCTCAATCTTTTGAAGAGTTTGAGTTGGAGAAAATTTGGTGTCGTATATTTCTAAAAGTTTCTCAGAGTAGGAGAACCAGATCTTTATTTTAGAGTTCACTGAGAAGATTGTAAAGGTTCCTGAATTGAAGAAAGAAATGTTGAATAAAGTACAAGCACCCACCGCCAACGTTTGGGCTACTCTTGTTTGTAGAAATAATGGGATTTGACTGTCACTCTTATGGCGTACCCAGGACCCCAAAGTACAGAGTGTGTTATTGCAGCAACTGGAAGCGAATCAAGAACCCTCAGATTTACAGCCCGGGCATGCTAGATACTAGACTACGCCCGAACTATGGAGAAAAGAAACAGTGATGAAAGCAAATAGAGAAAATTAAGTAATCGTTATTGATAAAATCTTATAAGCCTTCATTATACAAGCATCTAATCCCCCCCCCCACCCCAACAGTGAAATACGCTATCCAGTTGTGACGTGTTTAAAGTTCACGTGGATGTTTCCTTACGGTTTTAAAATATGCGTCATACCGTGACGTTCTTTCTCCTGATGATTCTGTCTGAAACCTTCTATAACTCTTAATTATCTTAACCAATTTTAGCCGTTTTTATATTTCTGTAATTACCGAGTCGAATATCTCTGTCTGGAAAATATTTTGCAAATAACAGTTAGCCTGAAGGAGAAATGAGATGAAATCCTGATTAAAAACGTTAGATAGATAATGATGTAAAAGAAGAAAACTAGCATGTGTGTTTATTTCGTACTTTATGTAGGTTTAGAGTGTAAATTATTCATGAATAGAAAAATGAAAGTGCTACAACAAGCTCTCACAGTTTATTTTAAATGTATTGCACAATAACAAAAATTTATCATATTTTCGTTCGTTTAATGTTTTCATTGTATATTCTTGTTAAGTATAAAGATGTACAATGAACTATATGTTATTTGCCCACCGCAGGGATCGAACCATAATATAAGCCTTATAAGGTTTCAAACTCACAACTCAACCATCAGGGGGTCTCAATGCGTTAATATAATTTATACGTTTACATATATTACCAAAGGGCAATTTTTTTTTAATTTATTAATTTACTGATTAAGATAGATGAGATGTATGCTTTAATGAATGCTTTAACCTTCTGTAGGTGTTCGATCCTACCAAAATAAGAAAACATTACACCACCCAGTCACTGTTTGTCAGAGATATAATTGCCGTTTTACCAACTGAAACATTTTGCAGGATTATGTCAGGTAAGATATGATACCAGTTTTGTGTATAAAAATATATCTTAGAAGACATTATTCTCTCTTTTTATTCACATGCATATATACTACTACTAATAACTACATACATACATGCATGCTTCTACAAGACTAAATCAGACAGTGCTCTCGTTTAAGGTCACTTTTCACCATGCTCTACAAGGGTAAATGAGACGTGGCTTCCGTGTAAAACCACTTTTGATCATGGTCTACAAGCTCTCGTGTAATATTACTTTGATCATGATCTATCAGACAAGATGAGGCAAAGTTCTCCTGTAAGTTCACGTCATTTCTCTGTGATGCTACAAAACTAATCGAGACAGAATTGTCTTATTAGGCCACTTCCCGTATGTTACAAGATTAACTGAGTGACCACTCTGATGTAAAGTCACTTTCATTGTAGTGCTGCAAGACTAATTTAGAAAGCACTGTCGTGTAAGATCACGTTTCTCCATGATGATACCAAACCGATAGAACAACATAACCAAACCAAAAAAGTTTACCGTCACATTGTTTTTATGTTTCTATAAAAATAAACAAATCAAAATATTATGTCTACAAAAATAAGAAATATTATATTTGAAGAAATACATTTTTATTTCAACTGCCAATTGCAAACATATATATGTGATTGTAACCAGAATAATCTGTAGCCTCCGAGTTTCTTAAGAGTGATTTTATATTTAAATATTTAAAGCTGATTTTGGTCACTACAACTGATGACGCACTCACAATAGCTCGAAGTTTCTGTAAAATTAATAATCAAGTAAGGCTATACAGCATAATAATATTCTATGTTATAATCTCCCAAGATATTTTGTTGTTTCAATCGCGGTATCCTCCCCAGTTCTGAGGGTCGACGACAATGGTTCAGCATTGTTTTCTGTTCCTTACAGCCTGCACTAACTTTCCTAATTCAAGCTCTTCCTCTCTAATCCATGCTCTAAATCTTCAAGCCAAGTGAGAATCTCTTTTCTTTCTGCGTGTTACTCTTCTTTAATTTGACCCATTGGAATCTTTGCCAATCATCCTTCACATCTAGTGATACGTTCAAACTAGTGCACCTTCCATTTCCTATGATACGTTCAAACTAGTGCACCTTCCATTTCCTATGATACGTTCAAACTAGTGCACCTTTCATTTCCTATGATACGTTCAAACTAGTGCACCTTTCATTTCCTATGATACGTTCAAACTAGTGCACCTTCCATTTCCTATGTATATAAATATATATAAATAAATAAATAGCTCACAAACTATTGATTACATTAATTGCTAATAAGCGGTTAAATCAACACAATAAAATAATAATAAATTAAATATCGCAATAATGTTATCGTTCCAGGTTGTCAACTTATAATATTATACATATATATTTTTATCTTTTTACTTCTTCAGTACTTTTTCTCTCTATGTAGTTGATCTTTATGATTCGCCTATAACACCACATTTCTAGTTGCCGTTTTGCAACAGCAAAACCTATGCATTTAAATAAATGAAAACATCCATTAATTGTATCTTTAAGAAATGTTATTGAAATTCTTTGATTTATCAACTCAGCAATTTTAGCTCTATATTTCTACTTGTATACCCACACTGGAAAAGATATACCATAGCAGTTTAACAAAGTTTAAATGACTGGTACTTTTGTTCTTCGTTGAAATGATCATGTTTTCACATTTCGAAGATTGTACGAAATAGAAACGTTTATTAAAATAAAAAAATGTGCTATTTATATTTACTTTCAGAAGTAACACACATTCCGAAGCATTTCTTATGTACATGCGGTGGTGGTAAGTATTCTTGTGTTTGCGATTCTTGTCTCATTAAATTTATATATTTTGATTTATGTTTGAATGTTTTGATGCTGTCGACTAAGGGCTGAAACTCAAATAAAGCTAACAGTAATAGAGAATTATAAGCAACTGATCCAAACGCAAGAATAGTGGTCAACAAGTAATATTACACTTTATCTATAGAAACTATAATTAAGTAATAGGTCAGAAAGAATAACACTTGATAACTGTTTTTACCTCAGCAACTTTATACCTCTCCACATCTTTTTTTTTTAGTTGCTGTTTCTGGTTTCTAGACGAAATATAATTATTATTTTTATCTTCCTATGTTTTACTCTTCGAGAAGCGTTGCTTAAGGTAATATAATGTCCATGTATGTTAGTATAAATGGTTATGTTATTGTCAAGTGAAATAACTAAAATTGTTATTATATATATTTTTATTACGAAACTATGATTTATTTTAAGACTAAATGTTGCCGTTTGAAATTCTCAAAAGCGTTAATGCATGTATTTACGTATCTATTCAATTAAAAGAACAATGTGTGTCAGTCACTCCATGCGTGCATGCGTGTTAGCTCACATGGAAACCCAATATTTTTATTAGTTAATTGTACAGTGGTACTTTTACGTTTATATGAGTGCAAAAGTGAACTACGTTTAATGTGCATTGTTCTATACAAGTGCAAAACTACAGCATTTATAACAGTTACTTTAGTGACATAAACAGACATCAAGGAAACACATTAAGTTAATTATTTACCTTACCGTGCCTTATAAACAACGCAATACTATTGCACTTCAATAAAAATTCCAACAGGTGTCTAAAATCGACAATTTGCTCTAAAGTTTAAATATGATTCTTACGCGAAGCACGAGTTTACCTGCTATATTATCTATTGCAAATAGACTTAATAGTCACTGCCCCAACTTCATTCATTTTCGATGTTCTAAAGCTAACATATTGCTCAAAAGAAAATAAGTACAAGTTTCAGGTGATATACAAATGCGATTTAGACATATAAACACAAAATTAAAAAAAAAGCAACACAAAAACATGTCGACAGTTGGTTTTTACACTTCTTCATACCACAATTTAAAAAAATCACTATTTCGTAAATATTATACGTTTCCAATTATCTCATTATATATATAAAAAAATCGATCATTAGGCCTAAAGTTTAAATACGCATGGTACGCGAAGAACCAGTTTATCCGCTAGGGGAATAAAATATTGCACCGTTTCCGTTATTGGGGTTGGTGGATCCGAAGCGTTGCTTATACGTTAGGGAGAAGTAAAAAAAGGGTTCATAACATTATGTAAGAAAACAAACTAAGCGACAAATGAATACAGTTGGTTTTTACACTTCTTGAAACCATAAGTTTAAAAATTCACTACTTATAACGTTGCTTTCTCAAGAGTTTGACAAGGAAAACATCTCAAGATCTCAGTCAAAGATGGCGATTATCCAGAAAGCCAAGGTGTTTATACAAAAATGTTATATACAGAGATATATTTCGTTTATAGTCATTCCATCTTTTTACACTTATTTACTTTAAATCTAACAACTCCATATTCTGATTAGTAGGCTTTTGTTTCATTCATGTCCAACTATATAATATAACAACAGCATTATTTAAAAGATTTATCTGTTTAAAACATATACCCTTCTCACATATATAGTATTCTACTTAATAATGCTGAATAAATAATATATATATATATATATTTGGAGTTTCACTAAACTGGCACAGCATACGCTTCATATGCTGGAGATCAAAAATTCCATACCGTCGATATCAATTTTGTTTCTAATTTGTTTTCATGAACAATGTTTCAGTAGTCAAATATTTTTAGTAACAGACACGAATTTATTTCTTAGTCTATTCTGTTACAACCCGAGTGAAGTTGCTTGTTTTTTTCGGTTTTTCTATAACAATCAAATAATAGGGATAACGGTTCTATGACAAATACATTAAAATCTTTTTATTATCTAGTTATGATTTTTTCAAACTATTGACTCATATTCAAATTATCGATTTGGTTTGATTTTGTTATTCTTCAGAACAAAGCTACACAATGGGCTATCTGTGCTTTGCTCACCGAGGTTTAGCGTCTTAAGCCTGCAGACTTACCACTGAGCCACTGAGAGGCTTCATATTATACAAGATCGTAAAAACTTGACCCAGATACAAAATCCGTTTCTACCATGTAGCTGTAAATCTAGTTTTGTGACTACTATACAAGCTTTACTTTATATTTATTTATTTCAAAACATTTTGAACTTGGTTTTTAATTTTTATTTAAAAAATCATTACTTATTTATGTATTTTGAAGGCTAACTTATGCTATATATGTGAAAGGGTATTCAGTTTGGTATATGTAAAAACTCTTAATTTTTAATCATACAAATAACTACCTACCACTAACGAGAGAATTCTGCAAGCCTACTTTCACGTTGGCTACATGAGAAGTTTGTTTGAAGTTAAGTACAAAGCAACACAATGGGCTATCTGTGCTCTGCCCACCACGAGTATCGGAACCCGGATTCTAGCGTTGTAAGTCCGCAGACATACCGCTGTGCTACTGGGGGGCAGGCTACATGAGAAAGAAAAAGTGATGACAAATCAAACTTCGAGATATTATTTTGATATTCTGGTTCGAAAAATGCTCTTAATATTTCCTCTATACACTTAAAGATGCTGAAAATGCATCTACTTTTATAAAAGAAAGTTATATTGATTTAGATATAATACTACATTTACTATGTAATAATCACAAACTCACTTTAGAGGTAAACAAGTCTGAATCGTTTTTAAGATTACAACTATTATCTAAGCATGTCTTTGTTTTATCTCGTTTTTATTCATAACCTTTTATCTGTTAAAAACTTGTGTGGATTATTATAATTTATAGTAATGCTGATTTTGCAAAGTGTCAAACATTTAAAGCCAGATATAAAAATCAAAATAAGACACTTGATAATTTTCAACGTTTACAAGAATAAATATGAAACCCAATATCGAAAGAACAAGACTAGGCTTCCTATACTTTCACGACTTCTTCATAACTTACCGAACACCAAGGTGAAGCTGTTTCATAACAAAGTGGTGAATAGGTCTCTAATAGCTTCTAATGAAGAGTTACGTGGTGAAAAAATAATTTATACATATTTATTAGTTGTTATAGATCATTTTGTAATTTATTCATTTCTTACAATCGAAACAGCAGCCAATGGTTTATTTTTTTTGCATATTCAGCACGATTGACTAAACTTGCAAAGTTTCATGCTCCCTACAAGTTTTACGACCTTTTAGACAGGTAAGTTACATTCGTTTTTTTTGTTGTTGTTTTGTCTTCTACAGTTGAATCACGGTCAGTTACAAAAACGAACTAAATATTAAATTAATTGTAAAGATAAGTTTAAAATTATCTTTTACAATAATCTATTCTTAAAATTTTAATATCAACAACCAAAATAGCATTATTTGAACGATATTATTTCATTTGTTTGTTTTGCCATTTTGTTATCATTAAAAAGTCTCAATTTTATTTTTCAGGGAGCAGAAGTTAACAAGTAGTCATTGGAAAAGTATCAGATTAATCACATTTCGGATAATCAGCCAACTGGTTATAGACTATCAGCCAACTGGTTAAAGATTATCAGCCAACTTATTAGACTATAAGTCCATGTTTCAGAATATCAAAAAAAATTGTTTAAAAAATAATTCTAATGTCTAAAAGAAATATAACATACATATGACTATTGGCTTTTTGTTTAAGATTTCAACATGATCCTGTTGAAATTTTTTTCACTTTGGACTCATAAGCGGTGTCATGGCAGTTCTAAAGTTTAAGCAAATTAACTAGAAAAAAACAGAATCAAAATCATTTTACATCAAGTAGTTTTTGTTTGGGGGGGGGGGGTTGCATAATCACTCAAAGGCCAAAACAGAAAGGTAGAAAGCTTGAGTTCCACTTCTTTTGTCTCACCACTGCGAACTGCAGTAACTATGAGAAACAAAAACTAGAACAATTTTAATTGACATTTGAATGTTTGTAATAAACCCTGAAGTGTAGCAATGGTCAGATTTCGTTCTATTAACCCAGAATATTTGAGCTGGGAAAGCTCATAGAATGTTTATAATTCCTTTTTAATTAGAGAATGGTAATTTTATATGCGGTTGTAGTATATTTGTACAATAGTAGGTACCTTTCTGTATACAATATAAAACGTAGTCTGAGATAAATGTCTTCAAGTGAAATCAAACATCCTGATTTACATCTTTTTATTTTTTGCACGCAGCCGCACGAGCAATCCTAACGGGATCAGAGCTTTTCGTCTCACCCTCTCATTAGTAACCGTAATTCACTGGATAGGGTGCCTTTATTACATGGTTTCTGAGGTATGAAAAAAGTCTGTTTTGTTAAATCATGTGAGAACTATGTAACTAAAAACCAGATTTGCAGTTATCTAGTGTGGAAAACTAAGAACAAATCAATGTGTACTAGTAACTTCTATTTTGTTGTAAATCGTATTGTTTTAGTTTCAATAATAAAAGCTAGAATCCAGAAACAAAATAGTTTATCTGGATAAGCGAATAGAAAGCTATATGTACAAAGTATATAATTTTGGTGCGAATTGTTAATTTTATTATTATTGCTTTACTTGTATGTGTTTATCAATATCGTGTGTTTCCAGTACGAGGGTCTTGGTTCGACTGGATGGGTGTACACAGATGATCAAGACAAACAACGGTTATTCAGGTGTGTGTAAATATATATTGAATAAAAACATTCATTCCTTTACTCTATAAAAATCGTTTTAGTGCGTATTTACACTCAAGTCATTTTCCAATTGAGAAAATAAGTTATCTCTTTTTCTAGTTACCGAGAACCACATAGCGTGTAATTAACGAAACATCAATTTCACAGCAAGTCTCCATAACTGAATGAGCTACTCACTTTCAGTACCGTTATTTTAAATCTATATACTTATTATCTGGTGTTGTTTTGTTCCATTCATCGATTTCTGTAATTCTGCAAACAAAAAAAATAGCTTATTTCTTCGGTTATATATATATATCTGTCTCTGTTGATAAGGTTTTTTATTTTCACAACTTCTACTTGTTCGACTAAATTTATTAGAAAATTTGACCAGTTGATTAGTTAGTTATGAATGCTAAGACCACAACAACTAACAATCTCTTTTTCCAATGAAAAAAGAAATGACCATTTATAACCTATCATTGTGAATAGGAATTTGGACTCAAGTTGAAAATGTTCATCAAACTGACCTTCGGGAAACAATGACAAAAAAGGACTCTTCTTCATGTACACTATACTTGTGTCTTTTTATAAAACAAAATTACTCTGTTATTTACATTTACACAGAGAATAATCATTAATTCCACGTTCTACTGTACTACGACTAGGCCATCCTGTCAAAACAATATCCTTTAATCAACTGGAATTATGACGCTGAAAATAAAATTTAAAAAGTATTACAGTAAAATTTGAGAAGTGTCATAACAGAATAACTTTGGCGTGCTACAGACTATTAATGCTTCATGAAGCATTTCAGTCTGATGAATGTAATCTTAATCTGTTGTAAAAACTGTAGGGTGTAACAAACTTTCTAACAAACTATTACTATTTATGCTTCTTGAGGGGTGCCATCCTCAGGAAATACCTTACTGTTCCTCTGTTTTAAAAATATATTTTTTGTGTTAATCTCTTAAACTTCATTCATAGAAGGGTCTGAAGAATGAAATGCTAGCTTATATGTATCATATACCTTTCAACATAATATCCAGCCTTCAAACGAGTTATGTTTGGAAAATTGTCTTTCCATAAAGTTCACATAACGACACCGATCGGTTTCACGAGATAAAACAATTCCTCTTACTGTTTAGGCTACAAAAATGAAACCATGTTTCAGAATAACTTGGATGCTTTTTGAATACTTTCCACAAATTGAGCTGCTAAGCTTCAGTTGCTTGACATGTCCTGTGCAAACATTGCGTCTTAGTTAGCTTTTCATTTCTTTCTTTTCCTATACTGATGACATTCTAATTAAATTTGCGAATACGAACACCACGTAATTCATAAATCTGATATGTCTTTTTTACTAAAAATGTAGCATTTTTCATCACATTTAATTGCAATTTGTAGAGTGTTTACTGAAGTATGATATACAAATTTAAAAACTAAAAAATTCCGTTTTAAAGAAAAGGCATATTTTGTAAAATATATTTTTCATAAATGGGACTGTAATCATAAAGAAAGCATAAAGTTCTGACAGGTATTTTTCTGACCGAATACTATATTTTTATTTAAACATCACGCTTTACAACTATAGAGATAATAAAAACTTGTGAAATGCAAGATAGCATAATCATATAATCTTACTTAATGGAGTGCGCTGTGCTCCTGCTGCTTATTTATTCGGAAAACTTCTGTTCTATTGCAAGAAATTCCGTCCAAGGACTAATCAGAACGTCTTTTTGTTTACGAATGCATAGGAGACCAGGAATTGTTTTGTGTGCAAAGTGTAAAATCTATGTGCAAAGTGTCAAAAATAATAAACATAGAATAATGAGAAACACGTGGATATACCAAGTAACTAGTTTAGACCAGAAGCACAATGCATTCTAACTGTATGTCATGATGTAAAAGACTGTTTGGTTTAAATATTAGTGATTAATTTATATTTGTGAGTGAATATTTTATCATTTTTAAGTTTTGTTACAATAAGAGTTAAAAGCAGACGATTGTAGGAGGGTTTGTTAATAAGAAATTGGTGTCTAGAATATAGAAAGTGGCCAGACGACGATGTAATAAAGATATCAATAGCGTGAGACGAGCGGGAAGCAGCAGACAGACAGTATTAGACAGATAAATGCAAAGAGAATATAGTTGGTGTGAAGTTAAGTAACGTAAAAATGATAGGCCTAACGTTTGATATATATATATTAAAGTGAAATTAAGAGTGGAAAAAGAAATAAGAAAAAATAAGTTTATTCCGTCAAAGCCAAATTCTAAAGTAATTGAATCAGCCTGAGTACACTTTGACAAAAGGAGCATAGGATCTTCAGAAGAAAGAAGTCCACAATAGTAAGACAATCACACCAGACTAATATTGCGATAGTATTAGAAAAAATAGTTCGGCTTGTCAACTGAGATTCTAAAGTAATTGAACAGTCCCAAGTGGACATTTGACAAGAAGAGGAGAACTATACATATACTGATATAACGTTTACAATATGCTTATATTCTCTATAGTGTGAATACTTTATTGTACATACGTTTAACTTGTTCCGAATATATATATTATGTAAAACAAGTGAAGTGTGTGCTGTGTATTCATCGTTAAATTTATCGCTAACAAGTCACAGACACCTACTGTAGAAGAATCCTAAGCCCAACAACTACATAGTATATATTTATACTATTAAGAAATATAAGTAAAAGCCATTTATTTCGACAATTGGCAAAAAAAACAACCAGAACCCATATACATATGTGATATTATTTTTTAAAATCTGACACTGTAAAGCAGTTACAGTGAGATCATAGTGGTCGTATATCAATCGTTATCATGATTAATAGCCTATACAATGTGCTAAGTCTAATACATAATTATTTTATATTATTAAATGCTAACCGCCAATTAGTCCAGACTTGCGTTTCGGCTTCTAATCTAATGCCGTTCTCAGAGCATTCCTGAGAAGGACAGTTAGGATAACACGGGCCAGGAGTCAATCCTGGTCTTGCGAGAAAGACATATGTATCATCCAATTGGCTGGGCTTTCACCCCACGTAGGACTTCGTTACCCATATGGTATGGATGACGTCAAGAAACGTTTCCATTTTCTGTTTGCTCTGTGTAGGATCAGTTAGTTGGATGAAGACGGATTTCTTACCTTTGTTATTTCATTTGATTATATGATCTTCTCTGAGATGATGACCTATTACAGATAGATCGATATTACGTATATATATAATTCTATTGTTCTCCTAAATTCAGACTTTCGATGATCTTTTTGTTTCTTCAAAGTATTGGATTCCACATTCATAGTGGATATTGTAAGTTGTGTTTTTGTATTGTGTTGGGGCTTCTGGATACTGTTCTGATATTATGATACTTGCATATGTTTCTCTGCAACAAAACACTTGTTGCATGTTTAACTTGCATTTCACTTTGATGTATGAAATAGTTCTAACTAAAAGAAAAATAGCAGTTGCTAAGGTACGGTTTAAACACCGCAAGTATTAAAGCCCAATAAGTAAAATATTTGTGATAAGAATTACTTGTACTGCAGCTGTTGTTGATTTTTTGGCATTCTTCTTAATGTTTCCATTACGGATTTCAATCCAGAGGTATGTAAAATAGAATTTCGATATATTTAACAGATTTTTTATAAACTATCGAAAAACGGCTAAAGTTCGCACACAAGGCTACTGACTCTAAAGAAGACCTCTTAAACTTTATTTGGTGTTTAAAATGATGCACGGTGTCTGTCTTTCTGTCAATAACATAAAAATACTTGGTCTTGGTGTATACATGGTTTGAATTTTTCCAGACAAGCAAGTCGATTCAACAGTGTGGAATCTTTTTTAAAACTGTAGACAAATAAATAAATATTGTTTTTCCTCAATTATCAAAAATGCAAAAAGTTATTATAAGTTTCCGACATTAGAACTCAAACATTGTCGGAAAATACCTGAAATTACAATCACCCAATTTCGTAGCCACTCATACCTCTAGCTATCCAGTAGCACAGCGGTATGTCTGCGGACTTACAACGCTAGAATACAGGTTTCGATACCCGTGGTGGGCAGAGCACAGATAGCCCTTTGTGTAGCTTTGTGCATAACTACAAACAAACAAGCATACCTCTAGATATTTGTACCTATATAGAGATATGGAAGTGCCGCAGCATTGTAATCTGTTGAAAACTTCGATTCACAGGGGATGTACGTAATTTCTCGTATTTTTCCAGTTTTGCATTATTATGGGGTCCGTTGTAATCTATCTTTGTTTAACACATATACAATTATTACACTCATTATTTAATTATATATGTTCATTAATTCGTATTAAATGTTCAATACAAAACTACCAAACATTCCACTCGATTATCAAAACTACTACCGTTTTTGAGAAATCAATGAAAATAATCTTTGTTTCTTGTTAAAATTCAGAAAGTACGTCGTCTGTCTTTACTGGTCCTCAATGACGTTAACGACAATTGGAGACTCCAGTCCACCCGAGACAGACTTGGTGAGTAGGTTTAATTAAACTTCAACTGTAAATAAGACTTTATCATGCTAGCGTGACATTCTAAGAAGCACTTAATAATTAAGAATAATTTACCCTGATCTTGCAATATAATACAAACATGTGCCGTGGTGGTAGGGCTTCTGATTTACACCCAAGTGGATTTGTAGTAAAACACTAAACTAGATTATGTTGATAGGACTTCTGAGTCACACTTGGTCTTGTAGTAAAACGCCAAACTGGATTATGTTGGTAAGACTGCTAACTTACACCTAAGTGGAATTGTAGTAAAACGCCAAACTGGATTATGTTGATAGGACTTATGAGTCACACTTAATTGGTCTTGTAGTAAAACGCCAAACTGGATTATGTTGGTAAGACTGCTAACTTACACCTAAGTGGAATTGTAGTAAAACGCCAAACTGGATTATGTTGGTTGTAAGACCGAGCACACTAGGCACCAAACAAATAATAGGTGTGCACTTTAGTTGTCTACTACTGAATTTTGTGTAATACGAGAACAAACTCATATCAAGTTAATTTAAATAGGCTAAAACTTTATAATTGCGTGACTGAAAACCTCTAACTTACATAAAAGCCAGTGTGTGTCACATCACGTCATGCTTGATTTCTCAAAATAGGAGGAGTCATAAAAGCCAAAATGCATTTATTCAGATAGAATAATTCGATTACTGTCTGTCAATTACGATTTTAGTGACAGGGCTGCAAGTGGACCTTGAGGAGAGTGGTACCGTGAAACCTTATAAGTGTAGCGAGTGTTGGTATAATAAGCCTAAAGTAAAGACGTAGTGTGGAATCACCTAGCCTTGAACCAAGTGCATAAAATTTATCATGAAAATAAAAATATCGATTCAATTTTAAATTAAAATCGTTTCTAAATTAAGCCATTTTCTTTTGTATCACCAAGTGTTAATAAAAAAACAAACCTCTTTAATCAACGGTAACTCTAAGTTCAATACATAGACTAACAACAATATAAGGTTACACTTTTGTTGCTATGCAACATAACATAAAAGCCATTGTTGGAACATAGTGTTATCAAAACGCACTGACTTTTCTATATATTAGAAGTGTTAATCTGATTTTTACCAATATTTAATCTATGAATACTCCACGAATTCATTTCATGAATGGTCTAACTTTTGATTGGCTAACACAGGAACTTACCGATGTTTGGTTGCCTCGACTGCACTTTTCTGCCTCTTTGTTGGTCAAACTTGATTTCGCAAAATTTATTTATTTCGGTTAGGAATAAAATGTGAGATTAGGGGATACTATGTGGTGGGGGTGAGGCGGTCGATCTTACCCTGTTATTTTTGACGGGCTATACGCTAGTACGAAAATGTTTCTCAGGTTGAAAATTATTTTAGAAAGCTTTCTCCCAAAAATATTCAAAGTCATCTAAAACGTCTCCAAATTTTTTAAGTTATATTGTGTTTTTGTACTACTTGTGTTTAGAATAAAAAAAACGTTTCGGTGTTTTGGTTCCTCTTAAAATTGTACGTTTTTCTGCCGCAGGAATATGTTTTCACAGGCATTACCTTTCTCATCGGAGTTTTCGTATTTGCCACCGTAGTGGGAAATGTTGGTGACGTCATCTCAAACATGAACGCAACTCGACAAGACTTCCAGGCTAAGTAAGTTTTCTCCCTAATTCTAAGACAAGACATGAATGTAACATGTATTTAAACTCTCAGTTAGATTAAGACATCTCTAAAACGGGTGGGCGTAGTTATATAATTAATTTACCGTGTGTTCATAATCATAAATGACTATAAAAATTGAATAATAATTTATTAAGATGCAATTAAGATAACTATCTAGAGATAGTTAACATATTTCCACATCATAGCAAAAACTGCTTAACACGTTTTCACATTACATAAAGAAACATTAAACACATTACCACATCACAACATGAAACGCTTAACACGTTTATAAGTCCCACTAAGAAACAATTAACACGTTTCCACATCATAGCAAGAAACAGTTAACATGTTTTCACATTACATAAAGAAACATTAAACACATTACCACATCACAACATGAAACGCTTAACACGTTTATAAGTCCCACTAAAAAACAATTAACACGTTTCCACATCATAGCAAGAAACAGTTAACACGTCTTCACATTACAACAAGAAACAGTAACGTGGTTCTACACCACAATAAGAAACAGTCAACGTGAGTTCTACATTACAACAAGGACCAGTAACGTGGTTCTACACCACAATAAGAAACAGTTAACGTGAGTTCTACATTACAACAAGGACCAGTAACGTGGTTCTACACCACAATAAGAAACAGTCAACGTGAGTTCTATATTACAACAAGGACCAGTAACGTGGTTTCACATAACAATAAGAAACAGTCAACGTGAGTTCTACATTACAACAAGGAACAGTAACGTGGTTTCACATAACAATAAGAAACAGTCAACGTGAGTTCTTCATTACAACAAGGACCAGTAACGTGGTTCTACACCACAATAAGAAACAGTCAACGTGAGTTCTTCATTACAACAAGGACCAGTAACGTGGTTCTACACCACAATAAGAAACAGTCAACGTGAGTTCTACATTACAACAAGGACCAGTAACGTGGTTTCACATAACAATAAGGAACAGTTAACGTGAGTTCTACATTACAACAAGAAACAGTAACGTGGTTTCACATAACAATAAGAAACAGTAACGTGGTTCTACACCACAATAAGAAACAGTTAACGTGAGTTCTACATTACAACAAGAAACAGTAACGTGGTTCTACACCACAATAAGAAACAGTCAACGTGAGTTCTACATTACAACAAGGACCAGTAACGTGGTTTCACATAACAATAAGAAACAGTTAACGTGAGTTCTACATTACACAAGAAGAAACTTGAAGTTAATGATAAATATAAGTTATTTTCCTAATGATTCTATTCAATACCCGAACTTGTTAATTATCAAATATTAGCTGTAGTCGTTAAATAACTTCCCATGTAAAACAGGTGGAGTTAAAATCAGATCAAAAAGAGGAAATTCCATTTTTTCTTTAAGAGAGCCACGTAGGCGGCGGATGCTATTAACTGACTGTCGTTCTTTTGGGCAGTAGTTCTAAATTGGAGACGCCTACACCTGAATCTTAAGGTCTCTGACCTTTTCTTTTAATCTGCGTGTTGCATAAGATGACTTTTGGTTAACAATATCAAATCAAATATTCTCATCATCATAAGGTCCATTCCAATAATTACGGCCATAAGATTAGCTTCTTTAACTATGGTTAATCCCATTGAAAGGTGATTTTCAGTACTTGCTGTGTTTAAGATAAAATAGAAAACAACAACATTTATGTCATATTCAATGAATAAAAATTACCAACAGCGTATGATTTTTATCATATTTAATAGCTAGCTTGTTCAGTGTGAAATATCATTTAGTATTTGTGGCGATACTCAGGACTTCTTTATGTTACTTCTTGTTTGTTGTGTTAGGGAGATTAACCTTTTCATTTTTACTTCTTACAGAACTATATGATTAGGATTAGGATTTCTTATTATTTGTTTAAAATAACTGACATAATGGTTCCACGGCTGTTCGTTTTCTTATTTATTGGACTGACTGATTTTTGTTATTTGAAAAAAAAAATCATTACTGTAATAAAATATTAAAGCCTAAAGTATCGTTAACAGGAAGGATACGTAACTGATGAATCACTGCAGTTAACTCTTTACATGTCTTTGTTTTATGATTTGACATACTCTTAGTTAGGCGGATTTATAAAATTAGCTGTATCTATTATTGGGTTAATCTTAAATGTTTAGTTCTGATTTGTGTAGGTAGGTGGCTTTAATCGAGGATTAATTATAATCATTGAAAGACAATTGTTGAACTGGTGTGTAGTCAATTCACTTGGCGATTTTGTTCAATGGCACGAGATTTAATGTCAGGATAAAATGCAAATAAAACAATTCGATAAAATACGCAACTTTTATCAGATTTCTTCATTTTAATGCAGCAATATTAAAACTTTATAGACAAAACTAATTTATTTATATTTGTTACACGACACAAACGTGGGTAACTGCAAGCCGATTAACGGATACTTTTAAAGTTTTAACGTATTAAACACCTATTTGAGAACACGAATGTCTTGCGAAAACTAAAACATCTTATAACAGTGTTGAATTAGATCTTTAGGAACAGTCCGCCCTGAAAGACACTACGTGAATAAATGGAGCAACAGTAATAAGGTGTGAAAGTGCTCATTAGATTGTTGTTTCACTCACACACACATGGGGGCGTTGGAGTTGTAATTATATTAAACCAATCTAAGCCTAGTGCTTGAGAATTTGTAAAGAACACTTCCGATAATACTGCAAAGCGAAACGTGGAGTATATTTAATATTTTTTTCCATGAAGTTTCCATGGTCATTTAAATACTGTTTGTTATGTTCCTATTACTTCAGCTTCCACTACAGAAACTAAACAGTGATTTTATATAATACTAATTGAATCTACTTTCGATTTCCACTATACTACATTGCGCTAACATTTACAGGATATTTGGAAATTATAATATTTTAGCCACTAGAAAGTAAAACCAGTGTGACTGGAATATTTCCATCACTCCAGCTCATTTTTATACAATTCAGACATCTGATGGTCCGTAATTTATCTAAAATGTAAATGTATTGGACTTTCAGCCTTCTTTTGTAAATAAACACTAGGTGGCATACCCATTCAACGCAAGAGGAAGACATGAGAGCTTTGGAGGGGTGACATGAGGGTTCATATGCGAAATCTAATCCCTCTTTGTTACTTTTCAGTGGGGGGCCTAAGGTTACCTTACAGGTTTGGTGACAGTCAGTCGAGCGTTTCGTCAGTTATAAACGAACACAACCATACAAAGACACACACACACAGTCTCTAGTCAAATACTGCATGGTCCTGATTGGTAGATATGGATTTACGTCTTTGTAGTTCGCGACATTTCACTTCAACAAGAACTAAGTCCTAAGGTATTCTCTAATAGTCTTAGGAAAGAGTCGTTTTCTTGACAAGTTGCTACGTACTTCCGTAAAGTGTCCTGTACATTCTAGATAGGATTAAAGTCCACTGTACCACTCCATTCATCCAATCTTCTCCTTAAGAAATGTTTAGCAATGTAGGAGTAGGCGTTATAATATGTTAGACTGAAGTCCGAGACAGTTACATCAGTTGCGTTAGCCTAAAGGATCTCGGGACGCAGTCTCTTCTATAACGTGTAGCACTGTGGTACCATTTCACTTGGTGTGGAAGTCATTAACTCCTCTTCATCTTTACTTTTATTCCTGCCCACACCATTCATTCACCTACAATGATTTTTGTGTGGTATTATTGCACTAGTATACCATTAGCGTTACTGACAGTTATTTTACATTACTAGCACGATATTTATTGTATTTATGTATTCATCTTTATTTGGTAAAACTAGTTTATCACCAGTTTACAGTTGATGGTGTTTATGATGTTTTGATCATATGCATAGATGTGCACCAACTCACGCAAATATATACATATCCAAAATACGAAATACGTATGTATTTAGGAGTGGACTTTTTGTGCTTATTTAATATAAATAATATATTCAAAGCTCCACCAGATTTGAATTATCTTTTATTTTATTCTGGTTTTTTGGTTGGTTGATAGAGGTTCTTCAGCCAACGGTTATACTTATAGTATTAGATGTTAAGGATGCAGTCAAAGTCTTGTACTATTTTATACTTTTCTGTAAGCCTGTGGTGTAATGTAGTAATTGGTAACACTTCCGACTCATTTTGAGCTTTTGGTACGAAATATATATATTGGATAACTACAACGTACTTGGTATACATACTATAGGCGGAAAGTCTAGTACGACGAATAATATTCGTCAGGTGGCGCTAAGAAAGTGGAATTGATCAAAGTATCTTGCAGAAGATTCAAGTATATGTATGATGATGAAGTTCGAACGATTGTAATAACAAACCATTTACTACTATAAAAACCCACAAATTTTCTTTAGTGGAAACTTCATTTTAATATAAAAAGGAACCTCTTGATTAGTTTAAAATACCAACTAAAAGGTTTACCTAATCTGGTCAGTAACTGAAGTAGTGTGCTTACGTAGTTACAGTGAACATACTGCGTTATTAAATTTATTTTTATACGGTGAAAAGGGAAGCGTCAAAGACATGGTATCACTTAATCTAATACTATATTGGCGTAAATTTCAGGATGGACCAAATCAAGATGTACCTTACACATAGAAGAGTACCTGCATATCTTCAGATGAAGGTGAAAAAATGGGCAGAGTACTCCTGGTCCAGGTATGTGTAATTAAACAGTTTTTTGTGCGTAATTAAACATGTAATCAAACAGCTTCTTTACGTGTAATTAAACATGTAATCAAACAGCTTCTTTACGTGTAATTAAAAATGTAACCAAACGGCTCCTTTACGTGTAATTAAACATGTAATCAAACAGCTTCTTTACGTGTAATTAAACATGTAATCAAACAGCTTCTTTACGTGTAATTAAAAATGTAACCAAACGGCTCCTTTACGTGTAATTAAACATGTAATCAAACAGCTTCTTTAAGTGTAATAAAAATAATGAAAAACTAGAAGCTACAAATCAGACATGATTGTTGTTCATCTTCCTGAAATCAATAAGTTTGTTTGTTTTGCATTTAAGCTCAAAGTTGCACAATGGTCTATTTGTGCTGTGCCCAAAACGGGTATAGAAACTCGATTTTTAGCGTTAGAAGCTCCCAACTTCACAGTTGAACAACCGGGACGGAGAACAAAAATCAACAAGCTGCACACTAGACTTAGCTGTGTAGTTATAAAACTAATTTGCAAAACTAGACTTAGCTGTGTAGTTATAAAACTAATTTGCAAAACTAGACTTAGCTGTGTAGTTATAAAACTAATTTGCAAAACTAGACTTAGCTGTGTAGTTATAAAACTAATTTGCAAAACTAGACTTAGCTGTGTTGTTATAAAACTAATTTGCAGACTAGACTTAGCTGTATTCTAATAAAACTAATTTACAAACTACACTTAGTTTCATTCTTATGAAGCTAATTTTCAATCTTGAATTTTGTATTGTGTATATATATATATATCAAAAACTAATATAACACAAAGTGCATCTTGTTCCCGTCGTCACAAGTTGATTGGTGTTTTTACAGAACACAGGCTACGGACGAGTCCAGGCTGTTACACATGCTACCAGAAAGCTTGAGAGCAGAAATTGCAGTGCACGTGCACTTGGATACTTTAAAAAAGGTACTAGCACTAAATTATTTAAATCCATTAGTATGTTCTGATAATGTAAATTTTTCCTGGACTGATGATTATAAAATAAAGAAACACAATCGAAGGAAAAGTAAATGTAATTTCACTTAATATATTACATTCTATTGTTAAGAGGTGAATCTAATTTTCTATGCTTAATCTTAGATTGATTATGACTCATGTAAAAAATTCATTGTGAAGACACAAATGTGATTACGTAAAAACACGGACAACGTAAACCATATAATTCCATTAGCAAAGAAAACTATTTTTAAAGAAGGTCATACCAAGATTTTGTATAGGCTGAAATGTTTAAATTAGCTAAAGACACTAGACAAGACTGAAACAGAAAATGATCGTTCTAAGGTAATCTAGATATTGAACTAAATAAGATAGCGCTAAAGATAAGACCATTTATATTATAGACTGATGTTATATGAATTCAAACAAAATAACTAACTTTAAACTAAGATTATTTTCCTGAGACATAAAATAAACAGTAATTCTTAGAGTGAATAACTAATTTTGTTTATATCTTAAATCAGCTACTAAACCATAATCTAACACTCATATTTTCTGCGGCACAGATTATTTTCAGTATTTTATACTTTTCTTTATAGTCGTATCTAGTCACAGTAATTACCTGTTTGTTTGTTTTCGGATATTCGCGCAAAGCTACCTGAGCTAGCGTCCCTAATTTGGAACTAGTATAGACAGGAAGGAATGCAGCTAGTCAACATTATCCACTGCCAACTCTTGGCTGAAAAGATATTGATATTTGACAGTCACTCATATAACGCATCCATGACCTCAAAGTACGGAGTGCGATTTTTTAGAATCCGACAAGTTAGCCACTGGTCCACTCTCGGCCCACACAGTGATTACAAAACTCTGACACGGTAATAATTGTACATTATAATAAGTAGTAATGGTGATTTTGTGTGTTGTTAAGCACAAAGCTACACAATGGACTATCTATGTTGTGCCCACCAATCCAGTTTTTAGCGTCTTCCGACTTACCTCCGAGCCACTGGGAGAAATAGTAGAAGAGTCCGCCATTACTATTATCATATACAATATGATGATATTTTTTGTCGTATACTTCTCTTGTCTCTTTTTTTAGTTTTGCGACGACGTTAAAATGGCGGTTGTATAGTCACAAGCGAAATAAGGTGGTGTTAAATATGGTGAAATGTAGCTATAGAAGCGTAATAGGGTATAGTGTTAAATATGATGTCAGAGTTTCGAAACATTATGGTGCAGATGAAATGTGTACTGTGTACAATATGATTAATTAACTGTGACCGTTTGATATCATTTGATATTGAGTGCATAATTAAGTGTCGTACTATGATATTGTATCATTAATTATTTTAATGAACAATAGGTGATACTATGGTATAGTAACCAACTTTATGCGCGTTTTGGTAACAGCACAGACAACTGAACGCTGTATCTACATATGATTTGCCAATAACACAGTCAACGGAGCACTGTATCTATGCATTATTTGACAATAACACAGACAACTGAGCACTATACTTGCATACATTGACGATAACACAAACAACTGAGAATTATCTTCTCATAGTTTGACAATAACATAGACAACTGAGCACTATATCTGCATACATTGACAATAACACAGACAACTGAGCACTATATCTGCATACATTGACGATAACACAGACAACTAAGAATTATCTTCTCATAGTTTGACAAAAAACACAGACAACTGAGAACTATCTTCTCATAGTTTGAAAATAACACAGACCTGAAAACTATCTTCTTATAGTTTGACAATAACATAGACAACTAAGCACTATATCTGCATACAATGACAATAACACAGACAACTGAGAACTATCTTCTCATAGTTTGACAAAAACATAGACAACTGAGCATTGTATCTGCATACATTGACAATAACACAAACAACTGAGAACTATCTTCTTATAGTTTGACAATAACATAGACAACTGAGCATTGTATCTGCATACATTGACAAGAACACAAACAACTGAGAACTATCTTCTTATAGTTTGACAATAACATAGACAACTGAGCAGTGTATCTGCATATTTTGACAATAACATAGAACTTACTTCTCTCATGTAGGTCAAGATTTTCGAACAGTGTGAACACGGGTTTCTCTGCGAGCTAGTTTTGAAGCTAAGGTCACAGATCTATTCACCAAGGGACTACATCTGTCGTGCTGGAGAAACAGGTAGCCTCGATTCGCAACTATCCAGAAAGCTTTTTATTCCAGAATAAATTTACGCTACCGGAATTACAATTAGAATATTTCATTCTTACTTTAAAAACTGGCGCTGTCAATGGATCACTATAGTTTAAACTTCGAATTAACAGAAAGTTTTATTCCAGAATAAATTTACGCTACCGGAATTACAATTAGAATCTTTCATTCTTACTTTAAAAACTGGCGCTGTCAATGGATCACTATTGTTTAAACTTCGAATTAACAGTAGAACTGTTGTTTTGTCTTTCAAACTGTAGAAAATTGAATTCTTAAGGATAGATAAAAAAGGTATATATAAATAAATATATATATATATATAGGTACAAAACATATCACCCGTCACTTCAATACATTAACATAAGCAAATTGTTTTTATAAAAGGTATGTATATATATTATATGTATAGGTGCTAAATACATGACCCGTTACGCCACTACATTAACATAGGCAATTTGTTCTTATAAATTAGTTTGGTTAGTTCTTTATACTAAATGTTGCCACAGGTAAAAACACTCAATATGATACAGTATGTGAATCCAACTGGCAGTGAATTGTATATAAATAAGTCGGTAATATGAGAGCTTAAGTTAAAAACTCAGGCCATAAATAAAATACAAAACACTTATTGAACAGAAAAATAAATTCAGGGCGTAAGTTCAAGAAGGGAATCTCTAAGATGTATCGTTGTATCTGTGGAAGTAGGACTCACACAGTGGCGTGGATACACCGTTCACATTGAGTCTCTATGCACAAGTTTCAGGGCATAAGTTCAAGAAGGGAATCTCTAAGATGTATCGTTGTATCAGTGGAAGTAGGAATCAGACAGTGGCGTGGATACACCGTTCACATTTATAGTCTCTACTCACAAGTTTCACACCCTCTCACAGCTGAATTTCACTGCCTGCAACCAACTATGTGTGTGGAGAAGAGTTGCTCTTAGGAAACTGAAAACAGCGAAACAGTTTATTAAAAAATATATTTTACTAATAAAGAGTAATACAGTATGTGTAGAGGTACAGAAATTAAATTTAAAGCCATCGTGTCATAGGGGAAAAAGCGCTGTTTGGTTTTATAAGTTCAAGTACATAACAATTTATTTTAATAGCATACTGGTTGGAGTAAAAGACTGGCATTAAATTCATTTTTGAAATCTTGGAATCTGCAGTAACTTCCAGAACTATTACATTTTTGATGCAAGTTTTGAGCTCATTTTTAAGGCAGAAATGTGAGTTTAAGAGAATCAGTTGTACATCACTCTTCCTCGTCGTCAGCCTTCAATAACTTTTTCGTCCTTTTTTTCCTGTTTTGTCAGACACAATCGTCAATCCCCATATGGATTTAGACAGTAGCTGAGATCTGGAATATTATCGGATAGAACACCCACATCTGTTTCTAACTTAATTTTTAACAGCTTACGAGTTAGATGTTATAGGATGTATATCCATACCGTTGTTTGTATACGATATATTAGACGCCTATGCCAACAAGATATATATGTATATACTGTATATTATAGTTGTAACTCAAAAGCTTTTGCTTTAGATTTACTTGTCACTCCCATGTGTATGTTAAACTCTTTATAGAAAGTCTAACTGTTTGATTTGACTTCAAATTCCGCACACTTCTATTATGTAATGGGTAGATTATTTAAATTTTTTTACGCATAGATACACATTTTTAAAAATGATATACAAAATGTAATTCTGTAATAAATAGTTCGAATTATGAAATAAATATTTAATTTTCTTATACATATATATATTAATGTGTAAATAATGTATATCCTTTACAACATTAAATATGAAGGTCACATAAAATGTCCAATAGATTGCGACATTTCAGTTCGTTGAACTAAAATATCAATACTCCGGTATTTTTGTTGTCAGTTTCATGGTTTAGGTAACCTTAGCTACGTGTTTCAAAACGAACAAAAAATTCAGTTTGATACGAATTTTTGAAATATTTTCTGTTTGGACAAAACATTTATGTACTAATTGCCTTTAGATGTTTATCATTTCTTATTATATTGTCATATTATTGTTATTGTAATATACGTGTATTTATTCATGCTGCTTTCTCAGGGAGAGAAATGTACATTATCAACCATGGTAAGGTAGAGGTAAGGTGAAATTATTCTTTTTCATGAATATTCACTTTGTTAGCTCCACTCAGCTCTCTAACAGATGAGGGAAGATGCTATTCTGTAAACTAAGATTATAATTAGGATTATTACAGAATTTTTTCTTTCTAATATCGCTAAGATAGCCTTATTGACAAAAATACTTAATGTTTTTGAGAGTTCAAAGGTTAATGTTAAGGTGAAGGTTAGACAAAATTACATAAACGATTAACACAATGCTTCTGATGGACATGGTTTTCCTCTATATGAAGATATCTATATCTTTCGAAGATTGTGATAAGTGCACTACAGGGAGTTATACAGATCAGAAGTGAAACCTAAAAAACTGATATCTACTGAATTAATAAAACGAATTAAAGGTTTATAGAAATCAGCATTGAAAAAGTTTTTTTTTCAAAAGTAGTTGAGCATTTTTACCTTATAACTTTTTAATTTTATTTCTCCAACCTAATGACGAATATATATTTTTTTAAATTACTTTATTAATAATGTGGCATAGTCAGTACCTCTTGATTAAATACACATCTCTTGAAAATATGGTATGACCCACCGAGTATGTTGCAAAGGACTACAAAAAAGACGTTGTATTTTGCAACAAGTTCACAGTGGCCATACGCGAGTGATCACCATCTGTGAAGTCTGTACAACATTCTCACTGTGAATGTAGCTACTTTTGGAAGGACAGGAATACAGAACTCATACATAATCCCTAAGTATGCACGACTTGGTTTACGGTGCTAAAGTCCGTCACAAGTCGAATCTTGACGGCTGGTCACAAACTTCGTGCTATACCTAGTTCACATTAATGACTAAAATATTTGTATGGGGACAGACAAGAGAACAAACAATTCCATGGTGGATGTACTGTGCAAACTGTAAAGGGTTTTGATGAGGATGTTTTAGTGTCAAGCTAATTGACCCACTCCATGGGCTAAGACATTGTTTTTCGTTAGAATGCTAATGTTTCCCTGTAGCCGATGTGCTGCCTACCACAAAGTAATCCATGTCTAGTTTCAGAGTAAAAATACCATCTTAAAAGTCCATAAACGGCTCGAATCTTAACCTCTTGCGAACATCTGAAGAGAATGCTATTTTGAAAAGTAAGAGTAACGCTTTCATTCATTTACAAGTGCTAATATTTTTTTAACAACTAAAGAGACAAATTGCATCAGACACCTGTCGGAACTTAACCCAACAGCAGAACAAAGACGGGTAATACACCATATCAAGATAGTGATCACAATTCTTCTCTCCCCCATAAACTACATGCCCCAGTACTTGTGGTAGAGAAAATAACTAAAGATTGTGTAGAAAATGATTATAATTAAAGTCTAAAATTATACATAGTATGAGATATAGTTCAAGCGTGTAGTAGCTAACAAGGTTTTTAATTCATTAGGTACTTTGGGTCAGAATGTAGATGATTACGGGTATGTAATGAATGAACTTATGTGTTTATGTTTTTCTTTTTCACAGGTCATTGTTACCAATCCAGTCACTGACGAAGAGGTCGTGGTGGCAGTGCTTTGTGAAGGGAACTATTTCGGTGAAATCAGCCTGTTGAGGTTAGACGGAGCACAGAACAGGTATACTTCATTACCAATATATAAGCGTTAATCTATGAACTTTATAACGTGTGACGCTATGTGTATATTTTTATAAACTCTGACAGCTCCAGAACGTACTGCTATAAGTATTTTATATGCTATGAGAGTTCCAGAACGTAGTGCTATAGGTATTTTATATGCTATGAGAGCTCCAGAACGTAGTGCCATAGGTATTTTATATACTATGAGAGCTCTAGAACACATGTTGCTATACAGATTTTATATTCTCTGAGAGCTCTAGAACACGTGGTGCTATACATGTATTTTATAGGAGTATCTGCTTAGAGTTTTACTGTCAAAATATCACCAAGCGAATACCATTTAGTAAGAGAGTATCGGTTAAAATCGTTAAATCCAGCGATGCAACAAGTACTTGTCTCGTTAAGATTCTGTTAAAAGTGCCGCTAGACACTTCTAAATAAAGGCACTATAATTTGTGTGCTTAAGGATCCACTTTTAAAAACAGCATCCATTTGGAACACAAAATATGAAGCAGTACCTTTACGTAAATTGTTATATTTAAATCACAAAGATATGTAATGTTTTTATTTAATTTATATATATATTCCTTTTTTCCACGAAGACGCACTGCAGACGTTCGTTCCGTTGGATATTCGGACTTGCTATGCTTATCTCGCAAAGACCTGATGGCGGTAAGTGATAACATTAGTGATTCGTCGCACACAGTTCACAGGTGTGGGCGATAACTAACTGGAGAGGCACAAGTTTCTTAGTCAACAAACTTTTATATGATCAGAACGAAACAGGAGCAGATGTAAACATTGAATATTTTAATTGTGTCAACACAAAATAAAGAAGAGATGCTTTAATATTTCTTAGTTTTCTTTGCCCCTTTATGATTTATTTTATAAAATTATCAGTAGCTTGTTGTTGATTTTTCATTGAAACATTTGATGTAAAACTAAGACCGACCACTCGAATATAATTTCTATATAGTTTTGCCTAACGATAATCATCAATATATTTTTTCTCACGAAAGTTCGATCCATTTAATATAATATAAAGTCATACATCCTCCTGATCTTTTGGTTTTTAGCACTGATCCACTTAATGTAAAGTCTTCTTGCATAAAAGTAGTTTATTGTTTGCTTTTCTAATATTTAAGACTAATCTAAAAATGTGATTTCTAGGCACTTGTGGAGTACCCCGAAGCAAAGTCTGTACTAGAAGTTCATGCTCGAGAAAGGTATGTGAGAAGTAATGGTTTTCTAGAATCAAAATTGAGTTAGTATCTGGAATATTTATCATTCTAACAGTACTCTCAGGATCCTATATACTTTTATTAAATAAACAAGTTATTTCTGTTAAGAATAAATTGTTATGTTTTGATATCACATTACTAAATTAGTTAATAGAAAACAGTACTGTCTAAAGAATAATTCAAAATTACATATGATGTTGCTAAAGAACAATGTTTTGATTGTTTTTAAGTTTAAACTTGGCCACTGGACTATCTGCGCTGTGCCAATATCAGGTGTTGAACCCCGAATTTTAGAGTTATAAGCCCTGAAGCTTACCACTGAGACACTAAGGGGCGATAGGAATGTAATAGCAAACAGACTATTTACATTTAAGTTACATGGTTTCTGAGTAGGCCAATAACAATCATTATTATATAAGAGGTAGATTTAAACTTGCATAACCAAAGGTAGTATCAACACTTATATCACGTGAGTTTACCATAAGTATTTAGAGAATAGTAAACTGTTAGGCTACAATTAGATAAGTGTCAATTTCCACCGAGTTCAAGACCAAAACTTCAGATAGCTCTTAAAGAAATCTCATAGAAAAGTACATGCTATTTATAAATTAATGTAGCATTGAACGTAGAAAGTAGTGTTCCCCCGTATGATTAAAATATTTATCAATTATTTTTAACAACCTCGAGTTAATTTAATTTTTCAAATATTTGCAACTGTGTAAAAGTATATTATTTATCTTTTAGAGAATATCTCTTTATTTGTTCCATTTTTAACAGAATCAGAACTAATCTTCAAGCCAAGAAAACTTTTAGCGTAGACACAATAACGGAGACTGGAGACGACAGTGACATCTTTCGTTTTTCTAGAGAACGAGAAAGAGAAGAAAAAAATAGTACTCATTGTTGGATTTTAACTTATAAAATTAAAATATATACAAATATGTGTTATTATTAAATGTGTTTTGTTATTTTAGTACTTAATTTTAGTGGTACAGGTATTTTCTATGAACTTCTCTGTGTATTCTACGAACAGAAGTGACCAAAAGTTTTTAATTATATTCATAATACTTAATACTTCCACAAGTTAATACATTTCAGTAATAAAAACTAATTCCTTTATAAAATAAAAATACAGTCTTTATTGCACGTGTAATAAATTAAGTATAATGATTAGAAGAACCTTTATTGAATTGTGTTTTGTCTTTTGTGAATGTGAAAAATTATGCAAATTTTCATATGCGATTAATAATCACTGAAGAACGCTAATCAAATATAAATATGATGTAATTAAACCTTTTGTTTTATTTGTTCTTAGCATAATGGGCTAATTATATTGTCGTTTTCGATTATACTCAAATTACTGGAGATTGATATTGTAAGTGTTTTCTACGTATGTCACACGTAAAGAACAAAAGGTTTCCACCTTTGTGTTCGCATCATCATGCTGTTAGAATTTCGTAGACCGTTCTGGACAGAACATAGTAAATGAAGGAATACTTTGAAAAGGTTCAGTGTTAAGTAGGTTATATGTAGGCCAACCGAAAAAGTTACAAATACTTGTTAACTCTGTAAAGCACTACAGGACATACTTCCATTGAACGTTACGTGATTTTGACGAATACCTAATTTACTCGTTAACGATTTCGACAACCATAGATTTGTCAATAGGGGGAAGTGTGGCTCAGTGGCTTCGCACTTTTGAGTCGTATTCGCGTCTTTTGTTGTGTACTTGGACTATAAACTTTACCTCGGTTGTTCCAGTTTACCCAGCTGTATGACTGGCATACCATCGGGTTGGAATGTGTCATCATTCTCATCCGCTTATGCCAACTAAGCCGGAGTTCAGCACCGGATCCTATGTGCCATTTCGTCACGGGAGGGATTTAACTAAGCTTAAATAGTTTGGTCGATGTTTTCGACAACCTTGGTTTTACCAATATTTTCGATTACCACAGTTTTAACACTGTTTTTGACAACTATAGTTTTGTCAATGTTTTCAGTAAATGTCATTAAGGTTAGTTTCTCGTTGAAAAGATTTCAAAAACAACAACAACAACACAATGCTTAAAACACCGAGAGTCAAATTTATCTATTCAGCCAGGAATATTGTTTTAAAAAGTGAAAAAAAACAGACTTTATTGTGTGGTAGACAAGAGGGTTAACAGATCATTAGTAAGAAATTAGATTTGTGGTGGGGAAATCGTAATACTGATAATTGTATAATTATTTTGTAATTTGTAGAAAAGGAATAACTCTTGTTACAAAAACTTATTTCTTTGTCATCGAAACCATTAAAACCATTAAACATGAACTTATTTAATTAGCTTTAAAAAATAATTTTACTAGTATTTTAATTTATTAATGCCATTGCAAAAATCTAAGAAGTGATTCTTTAAATTCTTCACGGGTATAAATTGTTCATGAGCAATGTGACAAGGTCAGACCCTATTACCACTAATAGAAATTTGAAGCCATCTTGTTAAAGGTGATTTCTTATACTGTGTGATGAAAATCCTCAACGAGTTAAGTATGCACATCCTAAAATTTAAACTTCACTCGAGCAGCTTGTCACAGAATGAGAGATATGTCCGTTTTTAAACATATATTTCTAATGACATTCTTCTTCACAATCAGACTGTTCATGAGACCTCTGTGAAATAAAAATGAAGGCTTGAGATGAACGTTTAAGTTGAACTTTCTTTTTCTCCTCACACGAGAAGTACAGTATCAGGATACGGTTCATGTTTATAGATCTGGAAAGCGGAATATTTGTCTACAAACTTACAGATCTATACGTTCATAACAATAGAACGAACTAGTTTACATACTTGTTATCAATTATTTAGGACAACCTTCTTATCTTAGTGGGTTTTGTTTTCACTTTTTCAGGTCGTGATATCATGGAAATTCGAGAAATGATCGAAGAATTACGGAACTTCCAGAATGTAGTAAGTTCCTTAGAACATAGTTTTCTATAACTAGTTAAGTGCGATACCATCTAGCAAGAACAGAAGAGATTATAAATAAGATAATGAACACCACCTCTTTGTTTTGAAGTAATTAGGGGTCATCACAACAGTACAGAGAACAAGCCCGAAAACAAACAATCGCATATAAAAGATAGACAAATAAAACTGAGGTACAAACAACACTGTGGGAAGGGAATCTTTACCTTGTTAAAAGGGATGTCTGAGGAAATAGGACTCACACAGTTGTGTCCATCACATTTAACCTCAATTGTGGGAAGGGAATCTTTACCTTGTTGAAAGAGATGTCTGAGGAAATAGGACTCACACAGTTGTGTCCAGCACATTTAACCTCAACTGTGGGGAGGGAATCTTTACCTTGTTAAAAGAGATGTCTGAGGAAATAGGACTCACACAGTTGTGTCCATCACATTTAACCTCAATTGTGGGAAGGGAATCTTTACCTTGTTGAAAGAGATGTCTGAGGAAATAGGACTCACACAGTTGTGTCCAGCACATTTAACCTCAACTGTGGGGAGGGAATCTTTACCTTGTTAAAGAGATGTCTGGAGAAATAGGACTCACAAAGTTGTGTCCATCACATTTAACATCAACTGGCAAGCCTCACGTGTGGAAGACAACTAAATAACATCAGATATGAATGCTCAAGTCCACAATGTTCCTATTATAAAAGATACCATTTGCCAGTAGTAGCTTCTAAGTAAGAAAATTATGAAAAATAACAAGTAAACGAAAATTAAAACAGTTCATTTCAACCAGATCAATGGGTTAAAAAAGGAATACTTAAATTTCTAAAATTATCATTCCAATCTTCATATATTTTAGTGGAAGTAAAATGAAATCTTAGATGTCTAGTTTCAAACTTACTTCTAATAAACGAATAGAATAATAGAAATTTCTCTCCAAATTAAAAACGTAACGAGCTTATGTTAGTAGAAGTTCAGAGATCAAACGAAAAATTATATATAAAGCTTATAGCAAAACAATTTTATTTAAATTTCTCGCTGTTAATTGATCTATAAAAATATAATACTAAAAGTAGATTAAGCTTTTTATCACTTCGATTAGAGTAGCCCAAGAGTTGAAGGTGAGTGCTGTTGACCAGCTGTCTACTATCTACTCTATTAGTTCGAAATTAGGGAAGGCTAGCGCAGATAACCCATTTTTTCTTTAGAAATATCGAAACAAACATATGTGGAATTAACCTTTGTGAAGTAAACATATATGGAATTAACCTTTGTGAAGTAAATTTCATGAAAAGTCGAAAGGTATCATTGAAATCCTTGGAACTGTGAACGCGATATCTTGGGTGAAAATAAATTTATCTTAAACAAAGCACATTTTAAGTATTGAAAGACAGATCGAAACATTTAAAAAATAATGTCTATCACTTCCATACTTTATTGTTATGGAAATATGATTTAACAAGAGGGAATCCTCAATAGTCGCAGCACATGAAATTCTTTTAGGCAGGATTAGAGTAAATTCATCAATGAGACTTTTTTTTTCCTTTTTATTAGCTATAATTTTGTGCCCCAGCAATACAAAGCGTGAGACGCGTGTAGATTTGATTCAATGTTATTATTCATCAGGATCTGTAACAGCCTACCCTCAACTTGAAACTCTTTTAGGCAGAATTAGAGTAAATTAATCTATGAGACCTTGGGCGTCGTCAAATAAATCAAACTAGAGTCCAAGACTGTAAATATATCTCACGAGATGATGGGGCTATGAGCTAAAAGTTTGTATTTGAAAAAAAAAGCAAAAAAAAAACTAACTCGGAGCCGTTCTATGAGCCGCTATGTCGCGGTTGAAAATGCAAATTATTGGTCTTTCAGCCAGTATATATTTAGTGGCCTGGCAGAATATTAATCTTGTCTCAATGGTCATTTTGAAGGAATCTCAGAGTCTAAAGCACTCATGTGGAGAGCCATCGGAAAATTGGAAATCAGCCAGTTACAACAGTATGTTCAGAATTTGGCTCACAATGCCGTTAGCGGAATATGAAACTGCTTCCAAGCTAATAGTTCGGTTATTTAGACAGCTGGACAAGGGAGATCATCATCAACAACGAAAAAACATGAGTGCTAGGTATCGACTGTGGAGCACTAGAATCATAGGGGACGGACTCAGAGATTGAATCATATGTTCACAGCCGCAACTGGACGCCATGTCATTGTACAAGACGAACCTGTATGTCAGACGCTCATAGCAAAACACTATTGTGATTGTGCCAAGAATACGTCTCGTGAACCATAAATATATGGAGTAACTTTCATTTTTACAGGCGAATCAATCGTGCTTCACTCTACAGTCTTCACCAATCGTTTAGAGAGAATGTGGAATCAGATCCACCATATTATATACTGTAACATGACCCACATAGCAGTAGTACAATTATGGAGAGAACGTGTTACAGGTCGTATCACTAACGCCACATTTGATGCTACACATGAGAGGAAGCACATTCTAACAGCCCTTATGCTACAATATGTTGGTGTAATTAGCCCTGACTTCAGAATGTCGATGATAACACTCACCCACCTCACCAGATCGATACATTCCTTGAAGACGATATTGAATTACCGAATGGAGTGACTTTTCACTCTCATCGGACTTTCTATGGATCATGTTCGGGATGCTCTTTGGAGATGTGTCACAATTTGTCATGTGACTTCAGTCATTAAAGAAACCCTAAAAACAGGATTTTATCAACATTCAGATTTTTTTTAAAACATGCACTCGGCGCCAATATGCCCTTGCTGTTTATAGACCACATTCTTTATAGAAGTTAAATGTCACAACTGTTAAAACATAAAGTCACATCTAATAAATGTGTATCTGCGATTCCAGGCTGAATGATAAATAGTTTGTATTTCAGAATACATGACTGATCATTAAATGACTAATTTGCATAAAAATTACCAAAGGAGGTTATTGAACTTATTTCATAACAGTAGTATTATCTTATTATAGCTATAATAATAATACAAATTCCAATTATCGCTTAATTGTTTTGAGTAATATAATACACTAAAATTTAACCTGTGACTAGTATTATCAAATTCAGTAAATCTATGCTACAACACTCATCATGAAGAATAGACAAAAATTACTGGATGAAATAACTAATTTTCTGTAAAAAGTACATAGAAAATACAAGTAGTAATGTATTATTGACGGCATGTTTGTTTACATTTTTGTGATTCATGCGTTACATTGGATACTGTAATCAATAAAATCGTTCACTGACGAACAAATTATTATCTAAATAGTTCAGAAAAGTTTGTTGAAATTCATTCTTTAGAGACCCTAGTTAGGCCAACTGGGCTGTTATTGCCTAAAGCTTGCTATACCTTTAAAACATCCTAAAACAGTAAATAACAGTATCAACTTGCCAACTAAGTATAGTCAATCACTGAAGTTTCGACATTTTGACTTAAATGCATCATCAATCAACCACTTACTCTTACAAATATCTCTTGCATAAAAAACCGTGCCACCAAAAACCGACTGACTTTATTGTAACAAGAATGAAGCCGTATTTTTAACATTGTTAAACTCATGTACATTTGGAACATGTATATCAGGTTCGACACTTTTCTGTTATCTAAGACAGCTTTGCAGGTCTTAATAAGTTGATTAGTTAATATATTATTGTCTACCATCAGTAATTTTAAATTTATATTAATAAATATTTTTTCAGTTATTCACAAAGAAAATTTCTAGAAATATGGCACATTTATTTTAAGCAAAGAGTTTTTCAAAGTCAAATGAATAAACAAAAAAGGTGAGAAAGCTCTGGATAAATGGTATCAACTTATACATGATTTTGCAAGTGAAATGCCAGTTAATCTCGAAACCCAAAACATAAAATCAGTAAGAGTTTAATTTCATTAATTATGTATAATTTCACCAATATCACAAAATACTAACAATAAGTTTATATTTACTTTTTATACCTTTTTATCATCTGAATTATCAGATTTTGAATCTAGAGGTTGTGCTTAAAGACGAAGATGTAAAATATAGGACACTAAGAACAAAGCTATAATTTAAACAAGCTAAAAGTAGATATCAAAAAACTGTAGTTTCTGGGAACAAACTATATTAATAGAATAATGCAAGATTTTAGATATATTTCAAAGTCTTAAAGTTGAATTATTTTTGTTAAACACCTGTAAGAATTTAGAGAAATCATTACCTCTGTAAATCCATTTGTATTTTCAGATTATTGTTTATTATAAATTTTAAATGTAAAAACATTAATAATTTTTTTCATGTTAAACATATGCGGATAGTTAAAATCTTAAAATTAAAAATATATATATTTGATCAAAATGATACAGGTAGATGCTTGACAGTAATAATGTAATCGACGTGCGAAAGATTTAGTGAAATGTCATAATCAAAAAATTGGTTAGAAAATATAGTGTGAATGTACTCACTTTTATAAGCAGAGTTTTACCATCAGTTTGTAGACGTCACAAAGTATCTACTTATCATTTTTCACACTGTGAAACCGCATGTGTAAGGTAACTGGTTCTTTAATGCAAGATTTCGTATGTATGTTCTAATAATTATTATTAATATTTTGTGTTTAGATGCCCCAGCAAAGAATAACTGAACTAACTGAAAAAGTAAGTCAAGACTCAATGTTTAATTTATTTTATAAAAATACTAAGTACAGTATAATTTTTAGCTCAGTTTATCAGTTTAATTAAGAATAATTATATCTAATAAGAAATAACATTTTCATGTAAAATGTGTTGATATAACAAGCGGGTGTATACTTAGGGCTAACCTCTCTTTATAAAAAAACCATGTTCCAACCTCTTGTTGCCCTTGGAATTGTTTACTCCATCTTCTGTCATGTTCAGACTAGTAGTCATGATTACACAATTTTTTCCAACACTACAGTTTCTACTGTAACAAGCTTCTGCAATGAATGGCGAGGACAATTTTCGACCATACACTTTGACAAAATTTTCAGAGATCCTCTATTGTACGTGGTCATCAGTTTCCAAAACTATTTAAACGGACGAAAAACACAAAAGTCCACTGAAGCTACATCCCATCTGGAACTTGACAGATGTGTGAATGAATTAGGTTGTTGTTATTCCAACTTCTTTGTTTGTTTTTGCCATCTATCTTAAGAGAATAGCTGTTTATTTCGAGGTGTGACAGGAAGCCTGTGAATGTTTGGCTTTTGGGCCTTCATCAACTTCAAATATTAGTTTGCTAACTGTGACAGGATATATGTCCATCTTCATTGCAATGGTTTTTATGGATGAGAATATTTTATTGTATAATCATGTATTCCACTTTGTGGATGACAGCTTGGGTGTGGTTTCAGTGTCCTTTTGCTCTCCTAAACAACTTCAAAAATATTTTTTTCTACTTTAATAGAGAAATGTCCCTTTTTCAAAATGTTGTGACCTATGACTTTATATCGTTTAATAACCTTGTTATACGATTACTCTTCTTCAGAGAGAACTGAGGCATGCACCTCCAGTCATAATTACATCCGGGAAATAATTGCAGGTATATAGGTGCTAAACATATCGGATAGCATCTGCACCGACGTGTCACTGTCTTAATATGTACAAATCGTTCTTATAAAGTGCAATTAACCCTCTATAATCTCACGTTTTATAGTGTAGACAGAAAAAACATTCTTTTAGTTTTAAACGAGTGTCTTACTTTTTTTTATTTGTATAGTGTGAAAACCTTCACGCCCAAATTATTCAGAGAGATGAAGAATTAAAAAACGCCAAACGTCGAATCTTGGAGTTAGAGTACAATTTAACTTTAGCTAAAAGTCATCATTCCTCACGTTCCTTGTTGAGAATGAGTCCGCTTAAAAAGAAAAGTGGACCAAAATATCAGAGTTTTAGTCTAAGTAGATTGTCTGAATCAGTTGATAGAATAGAGGTAGAAGCCCACAGAAGTATGTCGAGCTGTGATTATGAACCTACGACATTAACTGCGATTGACAATGAACCACCAACCATAAATACTGAGCAAGCTAAGATAGAAGGTTGTGACCAACCTCAAGTACCAGGAATAACAATAGATGTGGCAACCCCTTTAGAACCAGGAACTAAAGGAAATTCTATACCCACAGATAACAGCCAATCAAATTACAAACTCCTCAAGAGTCCTATTGTTAAAACTTCCAGTAGGTTAAATTCTGCGAATAATTTGACACTGTCCGACTCTTCGCCCCTGGTGAGTGATTTTCTCAGTGACGACTGCGGACAAACCACCGACAGCAGTACCACTGATGATGTCGGCGCACTAAGCGATTCGGAAATTTGGAGATTGTCATAAAAGAAGAAGATATTTGACAACACATCATATTTCTTCTTCATGTTGAGGGTACTTCTTGATTATATTATTTCTCTTATTATAATCTGTCATTCGACTTCATAAAAAAACACAAGGAGGAAAACCTTTAGTAACGTAATAGTACGAATCTAATTTAATAATACATTTACTATAATCTACTATATAACTTTAATAACTCGGTTGTTTTTAACAAATATTGAACTACTCTTGTGGACTGTTTTTACTTGATTTTAATAAAATTGCTTGTAGAGAGTTTAAGCTGTCAAATAAACTCACATTGTATTGATATCGCCGAATGTTTATAAAATTCTTTTGAGATAAGGCCGTATATTTCACAGAAACTGATTGAAAGAGATGTTCCCCTTATTCAATACTGGTAATACCAAATAATGAAACTAAATTAACATATGAAACCAACGTAAAAAATTAGAAACATATTACTAGAAAACGTTAAGAGATATCTGGAATGAGTGACAGTTATCGTGTTTTCTTTCTTGCTATCAACAGTAATTCAAACTTACCCTTCTTTCTTTAAACTTTTCAGACATTTGTAAAAAACAAAGTTCTGATAAGTAACAATATGTGAAATTAAATGAACAGTTTCAGATTTTTCTATTGATTAGCTTTATACTATATTTAAGAACAATTATATTATTTTATGTTTATTGTATGATGTGTTTCAAGTGAATTAAAATATTTATGTCTAAAGTGATGATATCGCTACTGAGTAAATATTACTGTCATAATAGCTAGATAATTGTGTCAGTACTGAGTAAATGGTACAATCATACAATGACTACAGAGTAAACAATATTGTAATAAATAATTTTCATTGAAACTACTGAGTAAATATTACTCTCATTACGAACTAGATGAAATTGTCACTAATAACTAAATAATATGATTACTATTAAATACATAATGTCATCACTACGAATTAAATGAGTGTTATTAGTAAATAAATAATATTATCACTATTGAATGCATAATGTCATCATTACGAATTAAATGATAGTGTCATTAGTAAATAAATAATATTATCACTATTGAATGTATAATGTCATCAATACGAATTAAATGATAGTGTCATTAGTAAATAAATAATATTATCACTATTGAATGCATAGTGTCATCATTACGAATTAAATGATATTGTCATTAGTAAATAAATATTGTTATCACTATTTAATGCATTATACTGCTACTGTTAATAATATGAAATACTTCATTACCGAGTAAATTATACTGTCAGTATTTATGATTTAGCAAATAATAGTGTTGCTATTGAGCGGAGTAAAAAAATATGATCGAGTAATACTATCACTATCGGATGCATAAAAATGTTACTATTAAATAAATAATGCTTCATTACCGATGAATTAATACCGTTGTTATTAGGTAAATACTACTGCCAATGCTGAGTAAATTATCTTGTTACTATTGAGCAGAGTAAATAACACTATCTCTACTAGGTAAATGACATTGTCAGTATTGAGTAAATAACACCTCAATCTGAGTAAATGATATCGTCACGGATAAACAAATAGCTCTCTCAGTAGTAATTGAATAATATTGTCACTAGTTGGTAAAGAATTGTCGCTTCTAATTGAATAATACTGTTTTAATGAGTAAATGATAGTGTCACTACCAATCAAGTAATTCTATAATTACTGAACAAACAATATTTTCACAAATAAGTAATTAATACTGTTAGTAATAAGCCAATAATACTTCCACTAATATGTAAGTAATGTTGTCCTTACTGTATACTTCCTGCAGTGGAATAGCGGAAAGTTTAAAGACTTACAACGTTAAATTTTGGGGTTCGATTCTCCGGGATAGGCACAGCAGGTAGGTCCCCTGGTGGGTCAGTGGTAAGTTTACGGACTCAGAACGCTAAAATCTGGGGCTCTATTCCCCGCGGTAGACACAGCAAGTAGCCCAATGTGGTTTTGTTCTAAAAGAAACAATCAAATTTACTGTATACTTAATAATGTGAATACAAACTAAATAATAACTGTGACTTTCACTGCTAAATTATTGCCTTACCAGCTGGAGTTCCGTCTACTGGACGGAAGTTATATAAATTCATGATTAATGAAAGGTTATCTTAGTACATGAAAAGTTCTTCCCTTATACGTAATTGTAAAAAAAAAAGTCCATAAAAACTGCAAAACACAAAATGTGGAACCGCAAGTTTGCATGTATCTCCGCATGGACCCAACAAACCTTCATACCAAATTTGGTGAAGGCCCATCTACACCCTGCGAAGTAGTTACATGGACATACAACAGACAGTACTATTATATTTATATCAATTGTTATTATATCAAGGCAAAGTTACATCATAATGGACTATTTGCACTCTGTTCACCGCGGAAAATCGAACCCCATATTTTAGTGTTGTAAGTCCGTATAAATATCACTGACCCACCCGGGGACCACTGCTAAGTCACTTCTGAGTAAATGAGCTGTAAATTATTCAATTTCATGTTGTACCAGTTTCATTAAGATATTGAAAAGTGAGTTGCTTATATGTCTGTTTCTTTAAAGTTAATCTCATTTCACTTTAACATCTAATTAACGATCAAAATAATTGGTTGTTGATGTTTTCATTTCGTCATCTATGTTTGTACATAACACTGATATTAAACTATTATTCGTAATTTTAATCGTGTTATAGCAAACGTAATGTGGACAAATACGCTGAAACAAATGTACTAAAATGTTCTTGGTTTCAGATAGGTTTCGTTATACAGAGTATTCCCTTCTAAGCCTGAAAGTCTGACTGATGTTTTTAAGCTACTTCTATTATGTTCAAAGTAGGCCATGTCATAGTTGTTAGCGTGCCAAGCTGAGGATCGCAATGCCCGTAGTTCGATCTAGCAATTTGGTGATAAACACACTCTGCACTTTCAACTCTGAATACGTTATAAAAGTAACAGTGCATCCTACTATTGGGTTAAAAGTAGCTTGTAGGCAGTGAGTACCGCTGCTGAACACTTGCCCGCCCTCTGGACAGCAGTTCTAACTTTTAGATGGCTAGGCCTAAATCTTGAGTGCTCTGACCTGGTTATTTCGTCCGTGTCTCGCATAGCTTGAAAATTGAAAAAATACCAAATATAAGCTATTATTTAATAAAGGTTTGTGTGTATGTGTGTCTACTTATAAATGGATAACAGTGAAACCAATTGTCACCAAAACTGTCAAGTACCCTAAGGGAGTTCCAGATGATGACACGGGAGGTTGGCATGTCACATTTCGGAAGACATTGTCTGTCTGTTGTGTCTACTTTTCACGCGAACAGCTTTTAACAGCTTTTCTTTTTAAATATCAGCCAAGCTTGGCGTATCCTTAGTTGCATCCGAATCCCCCACCCCGGTTCTTGTGTGCTCCCTATACTATTCTATTAGTCTATATCAAACTTCAAAGACACCCTTAGGGCACGCCACCGAGTGACATAGAGGATTCGGTGTATAGATCTGCCTTCCCCCACATGTTACTCCTGAGGGGCCCCTATTTCTTTCCCGTGCGTTGAGGGGACACGTCTGCTAGTGTCAAGTATGAGTTAAAATGTTCAACGTATATGATGAGTGTTTAATTAAACAGATATATCTGATATTTTGAAGCCTGTAGAATATATGTGGACCATGAGGGACCCCTATTTCTTCTATTTCTTTCCCGTGCGTTGAGGGGACACGTCTGCTAGTGTCAAGTATGAGTTAAAATGTTCAACGTATATGATGAGTGTTTAATTAAACAGATATATCTGATATTTTGAAGCCTGTAGAATATGTGTGGATCACAAGATGTGTGGAAACACATTTTTCAAGCTTTCCAATATTTAGTTAACTTGTGTAGAAATACGAAATTTTTATCAGTAAATTATGAGAACCATGCCTAGAACAATCTTTTGTTTTGTGTCTATATATAATCTCATTACCTAGACCATACATTTTTAACACAAATATGAATACGTTATAAAACAAATGTGGTGATACCATGACGTCACGCCCCGCCTTTTTAGTGAAGATAAATACAAAGTACTGAAACAGCCGTATTTTATTACCAACGTGCTTGCACCTGTTTGCTCAGTGTCAAACTTGAGCGCTTGTACCCCGAAAAAGTAAGGGCTTGATCCCTGCGGTAGGCATAGCATATAGAGTCCATTGTACAGCTTTGCGCTTAAAAATAACCAACACAAACTAATATGCTTTTTTTTTAAATAATTTGCTATCCATTTTCATCAAATCCCACAACTAGTATCAAACTGTCGGCAATAGTAGAAAAAAAACTTAACGCTTACTTACAGCGGACTTCGAAAGTCTCAAATAAACTGAAAGGTAATCGTCTAAAAGAAATAATCACAGTAACTTAAGATTTCTCCGAAAGATGGCAGATCAATGTTATAGTACACATAGGCTTCCTGGCACTAAAGATGAGTCTGTCAGCGTAAGTATAACACGAGTAGAACCACAGACAGTGAAATGGGGAGAAGGGGAGACACTGAGTCATGTATCGAAATGCTTCTATTGTGAATTCAGCGGTCACGATTAACATAGCAAACAAGCTGCTCCCCCCAAAAAAAAAATCAAATTTGTTCCTCCGCCTGTAAAGAAAACAAAAGTATTCAATGACTATTTACTAACCGTTATCTATCACATACTAACAAATAACAGGAACACGCCAACAACAACCAAACAAATAACATAAATTAGTTTAAAATGCTAAGAACTATCAATTGCAAGGCAAATATTTCTAATGATGACGTCGTATGACAACACATCAGCCATATGTAAACACATACCAATATTTGCCAGCCAGACCTTTAGGCATCGTTCAGAGATTCAATTTCCGTCAAATAAGTTAACATTCGTCAACTCTATAACTTCAAATTCTAAAATCACGTACCAACAACAAAACTATCCTGATAAAATCATTGATAAATGTTAACGTCGCCACACCCAGTTTGTCATAAGATCCAACCCAGTGACATTACAACACAAATACTGACATTTATCAAACATATCACACTTCTTCTGACACCCATCGTGTATATGAAAAATTTATAGTCGTTTTCTCATGCACAGATATCTACAGTCATCACCATCACACGCATTTTTCATTGTTTATCAGTTGTATATTGACAAACACCACTTGGTTTCTATAACATTTATGACAACAATTAACAGTCATATGAGAGTCTAAGTGTCACTATAAAGAACGCGCTCACAAATACAAAATATAATGACATTAAAAATCAACCGCAGATTTTCTTGACTCTGATGCGAGGACTGACAAACGTCCCAAATCTTATAAACTGTTAATTGCTATTTTCTGATTCTCTACTTATGTGTATGGAAATAGTAATAAGTATCCACAGACATTCTTTTGTTTATCAGTTCTTTGTTAACAGTTAACAGCCACTGACGCCAGAAGTATTGAAAACCACTAGTTATACACTAACAAACATTAAACATAACTCATAAGCCTACTTTTTATCACTTATAAATCAACAATGGATATATAATCACGTGACATATGTTACAACCAATACCAAACAAAACCAGGTAAATAAAGATTGCATTTCATTAACGTCAATACCAGTTACTTACTAAATACCCCAAATATATCATTTTCTAAGGATCTTTGAAGATTAACTAATTAAAAATCATCACTCTCGCAGTACACAGGTTCATACCAGTACT